TGACTGTTGTTATTACAAATATTCACATGTTCCTTGCCTTTAATTTGATTATTTACTTTGGCCAGTACCACCACTGCAATTTTAGCTCCTAATAATTATGACTAAAAAAAAATATTGAGCCAGACTCGGTGGCTCAGCCTGTAATCCCGTGCCTTTGGGAGGCAGAGGTGAGTGGATTGCCTGAGCCCGCAGGTTCGAGACCCGCCTGGGCAGGCAAGACCTCATCTCTACAATAAAACCAAAAAATTAGCGGGGCGTGGTAGCACATGCCTGTAATTCCAGCTACTCGGAGGGCTGAGGCAGAAGGATTGCCGGAGCCCAGCAGGTCAAGGCTGTGGTGGCCGGGAGCAGCCACTGCACTCCATTCCGGGCGACAGAGTGAGACTCCACTCAAAAAAAAAAAAAAAAAAAAATATATATATATATATATATATATATATATAGAGAGAGAGAGAGAGAGAGAGAGAGACAGAGAGAGAGAGAGAGAGAGAGAGATTGATTGCCCACAGCATGTCAGATGTCAGTTTTTAGGAATTGAGGAGAAAAGGTATTCATAGGTACATTAACACTCACAACTCAGAAATATGTGTCTTATCTTGTATTTCCACATTTTAGTAGATGACTAGGGCTTGGTCTTTCACTTCTCTGGGCTGGCTTCAGTCCCTCATTTTTAAAAGGTGATAAGTAATGAACAAATGTAATGGAAATTAATCAATAAAAATGATCTTATATATAATCATATGTAAAGATTATATATATGTTCAACCAGTGAGGTTGCTCTTACCCAGTAAAGTCTGCTTGGACCTTGGGTCTCCCTAATTCAAGCTCATATTCAGGACTTGGCAGAATTTTCTGGATGTTCATTCTAAAGTATTTGCTCCAATATCAGCAACTACCCCTATTTGGTAAGAAATATCCGAACATATTCTCTTGGTTATCCGTTATGCTGAAACTTTAATTTTTATTTGATCTCAAGTACTTACTATCCTGAACTTCTTCTGAGATATGCTATTCTGTCTCCAATAAATATAAACATTAATATAAAATAACTATTTTTTAAAAATTTCTAAAGATGAAGTTACTCAAATATTTTGTTAAGAGACAAATTAACACGATGTCAACGTATCTTTATACAAAAAATGAACAGGAGGAAAAGCAGTCAAGCTGTCACTGAGGAAGGTTATTTACTTCTCTGGATGATAAGTTACTGGAACAAGTAGTATTGAAATAATTAATGAATATCATTCCAATCTAATATAAGTGACAATCTATTTGACTAACAGATATTACCATTTGTACTAGCTTCTCAAGTAGTCATTGCTACTAGTGCTATGTCTTCTGTAACAAGACTGGTATACATATTTTTAGTATTGCTGGAAAGGGATAACTAACAATCAGCACAGATTTGCATTTTTTTCACTAACAGGACAAATATTAAAGAAAAATGTCCAGTGATGTGCTTGCATCTCAATTCACCTCTTAAGATGGTCACTTAATCTACAATGGCTTAAGGGTCACCGGACCTTTTAGTATCTGAAGATTTTGAGATTTTTCTTCTCTCTGTTCTGTAGTCTACTCGGTTATAAATTTCTTCAATAAAAGTCAGTAGAAATGATTTTCCCATGGCATAATGCATGAATTTAGACTACAAATACACAGGTGAAGTAGATAAATGATTAAAGTCATGTGTAGCCACTCTTCCTTTAACCTATGTGATGAGAAAACAATGCAGATACTAAGTGTCTTTGCAGAGGCTAAAATGTATTAAGAAGGTGGCCAGGAGTGTATACTCATCTCCTGTCCTCAGCCTTAGGGAACATAGAAGCCCTGTGGGACAGAGGATCTGTGGACTTGCTGGTCTTTAATGTTACCGTAGAAAAATATCGCAAGAAGATGCCCAAGAGAACACAAAACACAGTAGAAATTACTGAAGCATCCACTCAAAGGTTCATTTTGTTGGGCATATAATGTGAGACAGCTGAGAGAGTGGTGCTGGGGTGATATTCAAAATATTTAACAACCAATTCCACTCAGGAGCTGAACTCAGAATAGTCGCTGAATGTGGCGCTGGTCCAGGGTGCTGAAGATCCTTTCTGTGCCACGAATTACCCCTTTGTTCACTTCACTGTTGAAAAAGGGGGGAAGGGGAAGCCCAGGGTGGCAGGTGCACCCCAAAGGCCATGTAGAAGCGTTTCACTGTTTTAACCACCAGTTCAGCTGGACTGCATAGACTGACCAAGTGGCCTGGCTCATGAAACCTACACAGGAATACCAGATGTCCTTCATTCTCTCGGAGGTATTTACTACACTGCTATGTCAAACTAAAGGAAAAAAATCTTTAATTTGTAGGTGGAAAAATTGTGGCTGAAGGTAAGAAAGCACATAGTAACTCAATTTTCAGAAATCTTTTCTCCTTTAATTAATGTGTTTGCAAATCATGGGATGAAGGCCTACAATTTCTCAGAAGTCCATACTGAAATGGAAAAAATAGAAGTCAGTAAGATATACCTTGACAACAGCTAGACAGGTGGGCCCTCTGGGCTAAGCTTTGTGTTGGTGGTTTATCTGTATTTAAAAAGGCCAGAATAAAAATGTCCTCATCTAAGTTCTCAGGCCCACACACCCTGTGCTAGGTTTTGGCACCTGAATGTTATCAGTTCCACATCCCAGGACAATGATGGTGATGGGAGGCAGCCTCTGGTGTTGATTCACTGATCCTCTTCACCAATGCTTGGACAAGAGTGTGCTCGTTTTATTTGCCAACATGTGTCTCAAGGATCTAGTACAGCCCTCTATCTTATGCTGTATATTAGATACACACAGACACAAAGATATGAGGAAGGATCCAAAAAACCCAGAATTCATGTATAAAAATTGTGAATTTATTCTTTCATGTTTAAACTTCAGTCACCTTCAAAGTACTCTCTGTTTGATGCAATACACCTATCAAGACACTTTTTCCATTGCTCAAAATGGTGGAATTCTGATGCCTTTTAGTGCTTCTGTCATTTTTGTTTCACCTCTTCCATAATGGCAAAACATTTCCCTTTGAGGACTTTTTTCATCCAGGAAACAACAACAAAAAAGTTGCTCGGATGAGATTGGGTGAATGGGAAGGGTGGGGCATGGAGGTCATGACATTTTGGTCAAAAATTGCTGAACACTCAGTGCGGTATAGGCAGGTGTCTTGTCATGATGGAAGGTGTCTTGTCACCTGTTTGCCATAACTTGGGACATTTTCCCCACAATTCGTGATGTAACCTTCTCAAAACTTCCAGATAAAAACTTTGGCTGACATTTGATCTGGAGGAACAAATTCTAAGTGCACTGTAAGGGGCCCACCCCCCAAAAGATAATTCTGGTTTTTTGGGGGTCTTCCCTCTTATGTATGCCATACAATAAGATAAAGCCAAAAGGAGAAAATAAAAATGATTAGCATTTACCTTTTGCCTTTAAAGAGAGTCTAATTTAGGATCAGACCTCTTCTTGCACAAAGAGCAGAGTTTGTGTTGTCATAAAAATCAGTTGCATCAAGGCTCTTTAAATTTAAATTTTGTAAACTCTTTAAATTGCTTGTTATTGAAAAGGCAAAGGAAGCCCTAGTTTCATAAACCAATTGCCTAAGTTTATTAAGTTTCTAGCTATTCAAACCACATTTCCTGCTGAGTAGACACACTTGCAGGGCACACCTTGAGGTTTTTGGTCATGTTCTGACATGTAGGTAAATCAGATTTTTTTTTTTTTTTGAGTTGGAGTCTCACTCTGTCACCCAGACTGAAGTGCAGTGGCCCCTCCCAGCCACCGCAGCCTCGACCTGCTGGGCTCCGGCGATCCTTCCACCTCAGCCTTCCAAGTAGCCAGAACTACAGGTGTGTACTACCATGCCCAGCTGATTTTTTGATTTATTGTAGAGATGAGGTCTCGCTGCCCAGGCGGGTCTCGAACCCACGGGCTTAGGCAATTCACTCACCTCAGCCTCCCAAAGGCGCGGGATTACAGGCTGAGCCACTGAGCCCAGCTGGTAAATCAGATTTTATCCCTGAATGAGAGTAGGGAGACTATGGCAGCGCCTACCAGTGCTCCACCTTCTTCTAGCAAATCACTGGCAGCAGTAGGGCCACCTTAACTTTATGTGTAACAGAATCCACGGCTCCTTGGACAAAGACCAGTTTACCTGGGCTGTGGTACCTGCCAATGACACAGGCGTTGTCAAGGTTTGGCTGTGGGATGTGAGGCAGTTCACTGCATTTGGGGCACTCCTTATTTCTACAAGGCAGAATGCCATCTCCCATTCCAGCACAACAAAGCAATAAACAGATCAGTAAATGTGTATCCAGGGCTTGTTGTGGTAGTGGTAGATTAAGGAGAATGGGAAAGAAACAATGTTGTTTCTCTTTCTTTCCAGATGAAATAATAATGAGAAAAAAAACAAATGATGGAGTTCTGAAAGTAATTATATTTACAAGGATATTATAGGCAGCTCCTGTAATTACTTTGCCACCTTCTATTTCTTGCTTCTATTTGGAGATGACTCGGTTTGTTAGAATAAAATCATCAATGTATTTTCAGTTTGCTGCTCTATCTATTGTATTGCCAGGATTTTCTACGCTAGAGTGATTCTGTCAAATGGGAGTCAGGCCAGAGGTAATTCATCACAGGGACAACCCTTTCATATCCTGTTTCTGTCCATGAACTCCAGGTGGGCACATGCAGGTGAGCTAATTTGCTCACCGCAGCAACATGTTCAGGACAAGGTTGGTGGAGAATGTTGCCAATTTCAGCCTCCGCTGGGAGAAGCGGAACCATCAAGCCTTCACAAATGGTGATTTTATGTTTGGATCTGAAGTTCAAGGCTCCACTATATTTTGTGGTTCTAATCTTCCTTTGCAAGTCCAGGGACCACCCGTCATGAACTGAAGGGACCATTTCACTCTTTTTTAGGGTGAATAACCCTTGAAGCAGACTTCCAGGGAGCAGAGCTTGCTTACAAAGGATGTTACCTGGGTCTTTGTAGATACTGAGCACGCCCTTGAAGTAATGAGGTAAAAATCTTTCCAGTAAAAGCAGCACATCTTCCAACTCTTCAAGAATCCCCACAAGCAGGAAGTTTTCATTCACGTTCAGCTTTGCTCTTTCAAGGGCCCACTCACCAGGCTCCCTTTAGGGATATAAAAATTATGTTTAAATTAAAGTCATTTTTGAAATGCATCAATAACATAACAGGTTTATCATTTCTATCTCCCACCCCCATTTGTATAAGTCCAAATCCTGTTTCCTTCAAGGACCAGACCAGATGTAGCCCCATCCAGAACCTTCCCTGGTTCTTCCAGCTAGTGTTCCCTGCCCCACTCACAGTCTCTCATCTGTTTCTTTCTTTCTTTCTTTCTTTCTTTCTTTCTTTCTTTCTTTCTTTCTTTCTTTCTTTCTTTCTTTCTTTCTTTTTCTTTCTTTCTTCCTTCCTTCCTTCCTTTCTTTCCTTCTTTCTTTCTCTCTTTCTTTCTTTCTTTCTTTTTTTTTTTTTTTAGTCAGGGTCTTACTTTGTCACCCAAGTGGGAGTGCAGTAGCATGATCACAGTTCACTGCAGCCTAAACCTCCTGGGCTCAGGTGATTCTTTCATCTTAGCCTCCCAAGTAGCTGGTACTACAGGTGTGGGCCACCGCATCCAGCTAATTTTTATGTTTTATCTTTTTATAGAGATAGGGGTCTCACTATGTTGCCTAGGTTGAACTCAAACTGCCTGGCTTCTCCTCTGTCACTTTCATGTGTCCTTAATACTCAGCCCAGGGCCTTGAACTTAGGAGGCTCTGCCTAAGTATTTATGGAAAGGTGAATACAGGCACAGCCAGTTAAGTCCCAACAAATACCTGACCGAGGGATGACTAGAATGATTTTTTAATAGGAGGACCAAACTGAACCAATCAAATGAAATTAGAAATTTTGAAATATGAAACTTACTGATATAATGTATATGTAGAAATAAAAATAGATATTAGATCATGCCTGTTAATCATCTCATTCCTTTGAAGACTTTAAAAATAAATATTATTATTATTTTTAATTACAGAAGGAAAATAGCCTCATCCCATTTGTAGGCCAGATCCCTGAATCTAAGAGAGAAAAGTCCAGGAGTTGAGCTTCAGGCCTGGCTGTCATTTGCCACTTGGGGAAATTTGGGCAAGCCAGGGCTATTTTTTGAGAAATTGTAAAAATTATCCTTACCTAGCTCAAAGCATTGTTTGTAAAGGTTGAGCAAGGTGACTTCTTAAAAAATAAAGAATTCCCTTTAGGAAAAAATTATAGCTTCTAGGTAATCAGCTTTTTATTTTTAATTTTTTTAGAGATGAGGTCTTGCTCTGTTGCCCATGCTGGAGTGCAATGGTGTGATCATAGCTCACTGCAGCCGTGAACTCCTGGACTCAGGCTATCCTGCATTGGCCTCTAGAGTAGCTGGGATTATGGATGCCACCACATCTAGCTAATTTTTGTGTTTTTTGTAGAGATGGGGTCTTGCTATGTTGCCTAGGTTGGTATTGAACTTCTGGCTTGGCTTCAAGCAATCTGCTCACCTTGGCCTCCCAAAGTGCTGGGATTGCAGGCCTGTGCTACCATGCCTGGCCAAGGTGACATTTTGAAAGAGTTATGAAAATCACATGTGCACCAAGATAAGGCATCATGGTCTCCTCAAGATTAGGAAATACACAATTTAGAAAAGATTTTAGGGAGTTAAAAATATCTTCATTGTGATTGGAAAGTGAGTCACCTGGCCTCAAATCTTCCCAGTAACGGAAGCACTAAATGTGGGCCAGGTAGTATTGATGGTCAGGACAAGGGTGGGGGCAGGGGACAGGCCACTTGAACGCAGGAAGTTTATAATGAAGCCGAAAGCTGATATTTCTAGTTTCAACATTTTAACCATAAGCAATAACAACAACACACCTAATAATGAAGCAGAAGTCACAACATAAGTAAGCAAAAAGGCACAATGAATGTGTTGCAATTTAGAAAGAGTGGTTCTCCTTGGGTCTCTTCAGAAACACAGGGACCCCTAATCAGTGTCTCCTGTGGGGAACAGCTTCACTTCTTGTAACAGGGTTTATTTTCCATCAAGCAAGGAGAATGCTTCATTGTTGTGACCATTTTTTCTCTGGGCTACAACATTTGTCTAGGACAATGAATTTCAACAGTCGCTAAACTAGAATCAACTTGGGAGGCAGCGACACATGCCCGTACCCAGCCTTAAAGACTGTGATGAGGTAGGAGTTCTTATAAACACCCCAGGATGCCCACGAAGGACGTGGGCCGACCACACACCCTGAGTGCAGTGCCCTGATCATCACTCACTGCAGCCTCAAACTCTTAGGCTCAAGCTGTCCTCCCATCTTAGCTACCTGTGTGTGCCACCACACCTGGCTAATTAAAAAAAAATGGAGTGGGAGTAGCCAGGCCACCTTGGCCTCCAAAGTTATCAGATTACAGGCCTGAGTCAACACACCCAGACAGAGTAAGTTGCTTTCTAAAAAAAAAAGGCATGTCTTCAAGTAAGGTTGACAGGTAATCACTAGAAAGCACTTTCCTCTCTGTATATTTAGTATGCCTCACGAGAGAAGGGAGTGTGCCTCACCTTGGAATTATGGATGTGAGCTTCCTGTGCCTCAGACCCAACCTGACAGACCATGAGGGTTGGGGTTAGTTGTTGTTTAAGCTCAAGTCACTGTGGGGGAGCAGGCTGGGTCTTGCCCCTGATCTGCACTGTCCCATGACTGGGTAGTGACAGCTATGCTTTAGTTATAAAAATAGGTTTGGTTGGCATTCTGGTTGCACAGCCTTAGACAGTGGTCCCCCGATGCCTCTGTCAAGCTTTAATTTTTCAATTTCACTATTGACAGGACATTCAGAGTCTCAAATGATATCTTTAAAGGTGAATAGTAAATATGAACTGAATTCCAGAAGGTTGAGAGACCAGGTCTACAAAAGTTTCCCCCTATCCCCAAGTGCCAGGTTGGAGGGTCTTCAGCCCCTGTTGTGCACATTCCATGCCAGAAGTCTGTTTCCATCTTTACCTGCATCTGGGATGCTGTCCACAAAAATACGGAATGATGTAAAATAGCCTGGGGTTGGAACACTCAGGATAGTTTTCAAGAATACACTCATTGATATCCTAGAAAAGAAAACACAGTAGTGAGAGGTCTTGGCATCTTGGCAATGCTCTGTCAAATGCCACAGAGTTTAAGTAAAATTAGTGCTGAAATTACATGGGCAAGCCCTGAGAAGATGTAGAGATGCATAGATTTTATCAGAAGGTTTTCTTTTTGGCCTCCCAGCATCCGGGTCCACTGGCCAGGTACATGTATGACCAGGCCATTTCAGCAGTGCTTGCTCTGTCTAGGAAACTGCATTTCTGTACTACCCCGTGGTTCCAAGTCTTCAGCTGGGTCACAAGCACCTTGAGGACAGTTGTGCCTATAGTACTTTGTGGTGGCCCTAGAAGTTGCCAGTCAATGACGTAGGTATACAATTGGCACTTAATAAAAGTTTCTTGAATGAATTTAATATGACTTCATTGTTAATTAATTCTGATTTAATCAGATACCTGAATGGACAACCATGTAAAAATCTGTTTCCATGTGTATCCATGTGCCCAACAAACAATTAAGTATTAAGTAGTTTCATAAGGGTTTGTAAATTTTAGAGGGGCCATAAAATAATTTCAATGTTATATTAGCTTAGAGAGTGACAGGACATTTATATACAGACATCTTTTCACTTTCAAAGGCAACAGTTGTGGTTTCCAGATCTTCTATTTCTCTTATATGAGGTTGAACTTGATGGGAGTGAGGAGAAAGACTCAAAACCAACTTTTTTTTTAAGTCAGAGTCTCCTCTGTAACCCAGGCTGGAGTGCAGTGGCCATGCTCACAAGTCACCACAGCCTTGACCTTCTGGGCTCAGGTGATTCTTCTGCCTCAGCCTTCAAGTAACTGGAACCACAAGTGCGTGCCACCATGTCTGGCTAATTTTTAATTTGTTGCAGAGGCGAGATCTTATCAAGTTGCCCAAGTTGGTCTTGAACACCTGGGCTCGGGCAGTCTTCTAACCTCTGCCTCTCAAAGTGCTGGGATTACAGGCATGAACCACCATGCCTGGCTAAAACCATTATTGAGGTAGATTATACTGGATATCCTAGATAAGACAAGCCTGGTTCTCAGGTATTTCTAAGAAGAAAAGATAATGTAATCTACAAATAAACCAAACAGCTCTGTGGTGTTTCTCCAGAGACAATACTGGCAAGGCAGATGAAAAGTGGATACAGCTCTCGAAAGTGGCTGGTGAAGTTTATGGGTCAGTAGAAACTACTTATATCTGATATAACTGTGGCAGGTGGTTAGCTATTAAATTTTTTTTAGTTTGAGTTGGAAATGAGAAAAATATAATGCAAACTTAAAAAAAAAAACACCAATCCCTTAACAATGACCCTTCATACTTCTTTTGTTTATATACCAATTAAATAAATTACACAATTACAGTAACACATTCAAATGAAATAAACACAGTCAGCAACAAACACTTGCATGTACTCAAGTACTTGAGTTTACTGTGGGAAGCAGAGGTGTACAGTGTCCAGAGAGGAATATACCAGCAGATAGAGGGGAGTGCCTTAGTCCATCCAGCCATGTGGGTGAGTGAAGGGTGGTTAAGAGCATCTCATTGTGTATGAACACCCATTAAGAATGCAAGAAGTTAGGCCCAGAATATCGTCCTAAGAAGCATTTGGTACTGAGAGATGTATGTCCAGGGATATTAATTGCTGTAATATTTATTACAACAGAATATGGCAGAACTTAAATGTTTGCGAGTAAGGGATTGGTTTAAAGGGAAATTACAGTACATTCATATAATGAAATACTGGATATCCACAAAGGATGAAGAGGAACTACAGGTACTATCCTGAAAAGTGTCCTTGTTAGGTTTTAAGATGAAAAAAAAGTAGACTCTATGACAATATGAATGTGTAGGACAAAAAAGAAAGAAAGAAACACATGTTTACATAAACACAAAAATATCTTGAAGGACACACGCCAAACTATTCCAAGTGGTTATTTCTGGTGGTAGGCATAATGGAATATGGGAATACGTTTTTGAAATGTTAGCTTTTATTATAATGTATGCATCTTACTTTTATCACGAGAAAACTATAAAGAGATTTACACTTTGTAAAACAAACTGGGGCTTGTGTGGGAAGGTGACTGGGCTTTGCCACAAAGAGAGATGTTCTAACCTCTTTCCTCCCTCATACTCAGAGCATATCCCTGGTAGTTGGCCTTCCCCCAGGGACCTGAACCTTTGGTCTGAGGGACGCAGTAACTGATGGCAGCCTTCTCCTATGGCAGTGGTGAAAGGAGGGGCCCAGGAGCTGGGTAAGAAGCAGAGTGCGGGGCAACTCTGGCCCAGGCTGAGGTCGAGATTTCATATCTAAAATCAGAGTAAAGCAATAGTGCTGGGGAAGGGGAGACACCCAAGGATCTGTCACATACACAGTCAGTCCCTCAGAGACCTGCATTCATGGGGACCGGGGAACAGAGATGGCTAAATGCCCTGACAGAGATTCTCATAGCACCTGCATAATTGTTTAAGTTGTAGGTCCACGGGAACAGACTGTGCACCCCATTTCCAGCGTTTAGCATCCTGTCTGGAAAAATATTGGACAGCCAATAAATATTGGATAGCAGAGTGAATAAATGGCAGGAGACAACAGACAAGACACAGCCCCAGCAGAAGAAAGAAAGCTGACGTCTACTTTCTTGCTGACCCTGCCAGGATTCTGTCCCTAGCAACCCCAGGATGGACGGAGCAGGCAGAGGACCACTGGATGGTTGGTGGGGGGAAGGGCAGAGGAGGTGCTGGGACTTAAGAAGGCCACTTTCCTACTGGAATCCACAAATAACCTCACAAGGTCAATTTATGGGAAGACATAAATCCCCAGTTTAAAAAAGTGTAGTTAACAATTCTTTTCTTAGACCAAAGCACATTCCAGGGGATTTCAGAAAGTCCCATTTGAGCCCATTAAGTTGACTAATGGCACTCATCACAACCCAGGCTTTGGAAATGCTATAGGAGGACATAATGAAAGACTACTCAGCTTGAAGATCCAGAGATGAGCTGTGAAGCCCCAGGCACTGAGCTGCCAACCGCTTAGTCACAACCACAACAAACAGAGATGCTGCTGTCCCAGCAGCTTGAGGACCAGGGGCCTTTGGGAAACTGCCCCTGTCCTGTTCTGATGGTGTCTTTCAGTTTCCTGGGACCATTCAGTTTCATCAGTGTTAATGACTTTATCTTTGGTGTAAGGCTTATTAGCCTGCATTGTTTTACAATCACTTATTATTATTAATTATTATTAGAGATGAAGTGTTGCTATGTTGCCCAGGCTGGTCTTGAACTCCTGACCTCAAGCAATCCTCCTGCCTCTGGGACTACAGGTGGAGAGCTACTGCGGCTGGCAAACAATCACTATTTAATACCAAATTTATCTTAGCACATGTATTTTTAAAAATAATATGCAACTTCATTTTTTTTCTTCCATGCAGCGCTTCTAGGGTAAGATTATATACAAGCCCAGGAAATCTGCAACTCAAAGGGGAACTTCTGGTGATTCTGAGAAGATGGTCACTCTTCATCTACCAGCCAGGACCCAGCACTCTGACCCCATCTTAGTCCCTAGGGCTGGATCTCTTCCTGACCTTTCCTGCCCGGTGGCCAGGGTTCTGTTAGAAGTGGATGGACTTCTTCCTGGTGCCCACAAATGGGACTTCCAAGGTGGACCAAGTGCCACTGGACATCTCTAAAGGACCTTTCCACCCTGCCTTGCAGGGCTCATCTGTGTATCAGCGCTTGCTTCATCCACTTTAAGGCTCACTCTAGAGACCAGACACCACACTAGAATCTGGAACATGTCCCACCCATCCCCAAAGCGGATTTTCACCAGTTCTGCTTCCTCCTCCTCACCCTGCATGTTGTCTGCTCTGGCCCGAAACAGAAGGGCTTGTTTATTTCTCTGTAGGTCGAGAACTTGACAACATCTTCCTCTCCTGGATTTCTAGTTTTAATTTTAGAAAGGATAGAAGGATTTAAATCCCAGGTAGAGTTAATTTTTATTTCAAAAGGTAAATTTAGAAAATTCATATTTTATTTGTCCTTTTATAAGCTCACACCTTGTCTAAAAATTACCAAACAAAAAAAAGATATTTTATACAGCTACATGTGTCTGTGTGGCCTATAGCTTTAGAAGCAGGATTTCTGGATCCTTAAGGGGTCACATGCAAAGTTCTCTGAATGAGGAAGGGAAGATTTCGTTTCTGGTTTTAGCTCTGTGAACTAATTAGCTGGCTATTCTCAGGTAAATCATGCCATCTCTGAGCCTCAGTTTCTCCATCTATACAACAGGGGCTGAGCCACATAATTTGTCTGTGCAACTGTGAGTGGATGTACCTGGCTCCCAAATTAACTAGCTTTTAGAATAATTTTGAAATCTGAAGATATAGAAAAGGTGGTAATTTTTTAAATTCTAAAACCTATGAATAAATAAAAGGCTTTCACTCTGTATATACCATTTACATTTTTTTCACCTCTCATGAATGTAGAGAGCTTTAAGCAGCGAGGTTGGTATCAGATATATTTAAGTTCAAATCTTGGCTATACTACTTGCTAGTTGTGGAGTCTGGCAAACATCTACTTCCCAGAAGCTCAATTTCCTCATCTGTAAAATGGACACAGTAACACTTGCCTCACAGCCCCTTTGCTAAGATCACCTGTGCCAATTATTTTACCTGCCACTCAAATCTTAAGATAATGCTGTCTTTATTATACCTTCAGCATTTCAATTCCTTTTTTCTTTAACGTATATTTAAAAACATCATTCCTGGTGATCCCCTGTATAGTTTTTAAAATAGTGACTCCAGCTAACTCATAGAGAAAACAGAGAGAAAGAAAAACATGGAAATCTGAAATATGCTATCCATGTTATGTCAAAACAACAATACAATATGGTGGAAAAGCATATGTTATTATACAAAAGACACCACAGTGGAACTTGGAACTTAAAATCTCTGCACATGAAACAATGTAACACTATGATGTAAAAAGCTCTTTGTCAATGTGGATT